TTTGTTCTATTTTCCAGCATGATTCTAATCCACAACAGCCAAAGTCAGAGCAGCTTGAAAAATTGAACCTATTCAAGACCATGTTGGAGCGATTTTTAGCTTTCATCTGTTTCCAAAGCCAATATAACACCTCCTTTGAAGGAGAAGTTGAGTTTGTATGAGAAGCAGATAATAAATTTTGTAAATTCCAGTAGGCCAAGGAAGCCTGGCTCAATGATGCAGCAAGGACAGCTTCCTCCACCTCATATGCATTCCATGCAACAGGCACAAACACAAAGTAATCAGACACAGTCTCATGATAATCCAAAGAACCCGCAGTTGCAGTCAATAAATTCACAAGGTTCATTGCCGGCAATGTAGCCTAACACGGCATAATTCTTTGTCGGCTGGGGTTTCAACAGAACCTTTTGTTTCTACTATTGGAAATCAACAAGGAACTGGTGTTCAAGCAGGCTCCCAATCCCTTGCAATTGGCACTCCAGGGATATCAGCCTCACCTCTGCTTGCTGAGTTCACTGGTGGAGATGGAACTCGTCCGAATGCTTTGACAACTGTTTCCAGCAAGTCGAACATTAACAAGCAACCTCTTGATCGTTTGACGAAAGCAGTTAGTGAAGCTCTATCTTGACACTTCTTTCCCTTTCTTTTGTGGTTAAAGCTGTAGAAGTTCTTTCACCTTTTCTTCTTTCAAAAAGATATTGTATTTAATTTTTAATGTGCTTTAATTACAGTTTAAATCCATTTCACCTATAGCATTGTGTGCATCTGTAAGTGACATTGGCTCAGTTGTCAGCATGACTGACAGAATAGCGGGTTCAGCCCCAGATAATGGGTCAAGGGCTGCAGTGGGTGAGGATCTGGTTGCTGTGACAAAGTGTCGTCTGCAAGCAAGAAATTTCATAAGTCAAGATGGAATGAGCTGGACAAAGAAAATTAGGCATCACACTAGTGCCATGCCCCGAAATGTTGTATCATCCGCAGGTTGTTTGAATGATAGTTTCAAACTAACTGGTTCAGAGACATCTGACTTGGAGTTAACTGCAACATCTAGTGTCAAGCGGCCAAGAATTGAGGTATTACTCCTTGCTCATTGTTTCAAAAATGCATTCTGCTATGTTTTATTCGGAAGCCTCTTCCAGCACTTCATTTAAATGGTTGAATTTCTATATATGCACTACATTATAAGACCATTGAAAAATATTTGGCAAAAATACACTACATATCCTGCAGTGATCATTTTGCATTTATGAAAATATTATGGAAAAAATATTTGGCATAAGTCATTGTTCTCTACTTAGTTACATACATTTAAGCTTGTGACTAAGGTAAATATTAAATGTGGTGTGAACATTGGTGAAGAAAAAATTGTGGTCCTTTTCAGCATTTGCGTCATTATTGTTCTGAATCATATGGTCCTTAGGTATTCTTTCTTCTTGGAATGCATATAATCCATGGTAAGCATAGACTATTGGAGATAACCTGTAACGGAGATTTTAGTTATAGACTCTTGGAAGTCATTATTTAAATTTCACGGTCCATTTTGACCTTATAGCTTTATATAGTTCCTGATGTGATTGTAAATTTATTCTGAGGTTTTTTTCCAAATTCTAGAGTTATATTGTTCAGTTGTGCACTGAATGCAGGCAGATAAAATTTTCCGATTGCCATTCTACTTTCTGATGTTTAATCACTATGTGTCAATGAGAACTCGGACATTTGGTTTTTCACATTTCAACTTCTTAGCAATAATAGAGGCTATCTTATGCTGGCAAGATAAATTTCATACATAACTTAGAGATGTCTGAGATAACCACAATTTACTTTATATGATTAGATATAAAAGATGACATGGAAGCTATTGCAGGCTAATCATGCCCTTTTGGAAGAAACAAGGGAAATAAACCAGAGACTTATAGACACAGTGGTTGATATCAGTGATGAATATGTCAATCCAGGTGCAACAGCTGTAGCCGCTGAAGGGGGTGAAGTAACCATTGTCAAGTGCTCTTTCAGTGCTGTGGCTCTCAGTTCAAATTTGAAATCGCAGTACATGTCAGCACTCAGCACAATTGGTAAGCTTTCAGATCATGGAAAGAAACTGATGTCTTAGCCTGAAGTAATTTGATTTTCTTGGCATCTGTATTGTTGCTATGCAGTCACCAATTCAGCCCTTGCATTTGCTGGTCCCCACAAATTATCCAAATTGTTCCCCTATCCTGTTAGACAAATTCCGGTTGAAGTCAGGAGAGGAAAACATGCATAATGGTTTTGTTTCAACTGCTGCTTGTCTTTATTTTATTCGAGTACAATTCAAAAAGTAAAAACTGCAAAGTGATAATATTTATTTTAGATAATATTTTTAAACGTTTGAATGAGTTTAATGTGGGCCTTACAAATAAGTGTGCATTCAAAAGATCTAAGGATTTTTTAATTGATTTCCCCATTTTGGAAGGGCGTCAGAAACTTAGAGCTTTAGAGGAGAGAAATGCTATATTTTTAGTTCTCTCCAAATTTTTCAAGAAAATTTTCGGCTCACCAAAGGAAGCCTCGTTAAAGTCGAAGCAAGAGTTCTCAGAAGAAGGTGCATCGAGGGGTGTTTCTTCTGATCTTGAAGGCTCTATAGTGGTTTTGATATCGGAAGATTATGGCTGTGGAAGTTTTGGATCTTTCAGGTGTTTCTTTTCTGTTTATTGATTTGGAGTGGGGGGTTTCGGATGGTCTCTGTCGACAAGTCGAGCAAGAAGAGGCAGAAACGTGGAAGCTGCTTTTTGTACTCTTATCGTGTGGAAGCTCAGGGCTTTTGTTTTTGAATTTGGTTTTTTTAGATTGAGTCAGCTTTGATATTCGGCTTCTGTTTTAGTTGTTTTGTTTTTGTGTTGTTTTCGGGCTATGTTTGGTGTTAAGACTGGTCAGTTGTAGCTAAGATGGTTTTCGTTGTGTTAGTGTTGTTGTGTAGGGTTGTATTCGGTCGTTTTTGGTTGTTTGTTTATGTTGGGGGTGGCGATCTGGTTGTATCTTATGGTTAATGAAATCTTAAGGCATTCTTTTTCTCCTTCCGTTGATTAAGGAGCTTTTCTAAAGCTCCTTTAATCAAGGAGGAGGTTTTTAAGGAGGTCTTCAACACCTATCAAAAAAATTATCCCAAGGAAAACTTTGTAAGCAGTTATTAGTATTTGGCACGGGGTTTTACATTCCGGCTCAAGGGCAAGATGGTTTGAGTTTAGATGTTCCTCTATTTGATATTTTTGCTTGGAAGTAATTTTTGCTGTCATATTATGTTTCGCAGTACGGAGCAGGAAGATCTTTCGTGAAAGCGAAGTCTAGGCTTAATATATCACTCCGTAGCCTTTCGCAGCCTACGTCACTCGGTGAGATAGCAAGGACTTGGGATGTTTGTGCTCGAGCGGTTATTTCCGATCATGCAAAACTGAGTGGTGGTGGCAGCTGTAGCTCAAAATATGGGGCTTGGGAGAATTGTGTGACTGCTGCACAGCCATATTTGCCAACTCAGTCAAAGGCCTGAATGGGATTTGTTTTTGATGATTGATGACAAGAATTTGCCACAACTGATATTACGAGGACTGGATAAGCAGTTTTTGGATCAATATATTTGTAATTAAAAGCAGTCTCAGGTGATGTTGTCGATTCGAGAAATCTGAATGACAGTTAATAATTACTGTCGGTAAGTAATTACTTTTTGACCCGTAGGGTCCGAAACATGCTCGCATCTGGTTCAACAAGGCTACACTTGTGTTTACTTGTAGCAGTTGTTTGAATGGATAAATGGGGAAAATCCTTGGTTTCTCATCTGTTAATAAATAACAATGCAGAATCATTCACAATAGTTCCATTTTTGCACATGTATACCCGTGACATAAGAGCTCTAAATGTTCTGTTCATGTTCTTACATCACCAGTAACTGTTGAAACATACCAAATGAATTAAAATATTCTTATATCAATAATAACTGATGAAACATACCAAATGAATACAAATTTATCACATGAATCTTTCCCACCATACCATTTAAACATACCACCTTCCCGATTGATGATCTTTTTAAACTTAAATTTTATTACTTGAATTAATATATCTATTTGAAATTCGGTATAAATTTGATAATAGAGTCAAAATGAATAAATGATTTATTTTTAATAATGTGATAAATGATAAAATAATCATTTTTGTAATAGTTTAATGATTTAGTATCATCTGATTTGAATTTTGATATAAATTTGATAATAGAGTCGAAATGAATAAATGATTTATTTTTAATAACGTGATAAATGATAAAATAATCATTTTTGTAATAATTTAATGAATTAGTATCAATTTTCTTTTTTAAAAGATTTTAGAAGCTTTGAGATTTTTCTCTTTCCAGATTTTAGAGCATTTGGGGATTATTTTTTGGTAAGAAAAATAATAATGTTTTTTAAAAAATAAAAGAAATAAAAATGACATTTGTCAATTTTTTTAAACAATTATTATAATATAAATATTTGAGTAACATCTGTATAATTTTATCATTTATATTTTATATAGGAAGTTCTACAGTGCGGAACTCTTAATATACAACTAAAAAAATGCGATATCGATTTTATTATTATTTAAATAATAAAATCGTAAAAAAATTACCTAAAACATTATTATTTCTATCTAAAACATCAATGTTATTTCCAGTAAAGTACCTAATAATAACAAAACCAATAAAAAAATAACAAAACCGGTAAATCGCTCAATAATAATAAAACCGATAAAAATAATAATATTTTTATATTTTTTATTAATTTTATTATTTAAATAATAATAAAACTGATAACAATTTTTTTAACAGTATATTAATACACCACATGATCATTTAAGAAAAAGAAATTGTCCCCTACCTACTTCATCAACAAAAGTTGCTTTGAAAATTAATAAGCTTTGAAAATTGCTACACTAATATTTAAGAAAAACAAAAGTTGGTCGCACCAATAAATTCTATAAACAGACCTTTCTGTTTTACATATGCAAATTGTCCCCTACCTACTTCAGCAACAAAGTACCAAAACCAGTGTCTCTAAGCACAGCACGAATGACAAAACTGAAGCTGAAGGCGGGGAGCAGGCCACCATGGGTTGGGTTGGCAGCTGCTGTATGGGTTCAGATATCAGCAGGGAACGGCTCCAACTTCCCACTCTATTCTTCTGCTCTCAAATCAGTTTTGGGTTTCAACCAGCAACAGCTCACCTTCTTGGGAGTCGCAAATGATATAGGAGAGAGTGTTGGGCTCCTTCCCGGTATCGCCTGTAATCGTTTCCCTCCTTGGACTGTGCTTCTTGTTGGGGTCTTCGCCTGTTTCTTGGGATATGGTGTTATCTGGCTTGCTGTTACCCAAACTATTCATGGTCTTCCTTACTGGGCAGTGAGTGATAATTTCAATTGTGTTTATTTTTCTCTCAGTTGCTTTTTTTATATATTATTTTGCATGTTGTTCTTGTTACTGAAATTGGTTCTGTATATGCTGAGAATTAGAATCTTCAAGGTTTTATGTGGTGTAACTGAACCAGATGAGGTGAGGTTATACCTTTGTCTTGATGCATTAAGCACAGGGCTTTTCTTTTTGAACATCAGTGTGAGCTCCTCAGCAAAGTCAACAATGGTTTTGTATGTGTTGTGATGTGATTGGACCAGCTAAAGTGAGATGGGATGGGTATTGGGTATAATATAGGAAAAATCATCTGCTTTATCTGTATCTTGTGGAGATTGTTTAGACGCGTTGATAGCCATGAATGATGACAACAAATAGGTCTAATCTTAATAGCTCATGGAAGGCCATGAATCTGCATCCACTATAAGAGTTTATTCACAACTTGAATTTACCCAGGAATATGCAGGACCTTTGGTTTTGATTATTTTCCCTGTTGAAGATTTCTCCAGTGAGATATTAATATAAAACTTCGACTCGATTGGTAATAAGATTTGGTGCTAAGTTCCCGAGTACCAATTTCATCAAGTTATGCATTAATAACGTCAATCAAAACAATATCTTGCAATATGCAGATTGATTATATCTTTATGTATTGATGCTTTAAGCCTGGGGCTTATCTATTGGTTGGTCCTCCTTATACCTGCCAGAAAAAAAGCAGCCTAGCGCTTCTTACCAGTTTTCAGAACTTGTAGATCTAATGGTTTCTGAATTCTGATTCTGAATTCTGATTCTGTATTATGCATTTTTTTAAAGTGTTTTCGCTGAAACATTCAGATTTGTTTAAGTTTCGATCTTAAATTCATGCCAATCTGATCTTTTCTGGTTATGTTGGGATTAGGCCCTCAGTTGATCAGTTTCATTTTTTGTTTGCTCCAAGCAATTTCCTGTTATTCTTAGGTCTTCATTGAAGCATTTCCAAACCTGTAATTGGTAACTTATTTCACTGGCTATTTATTCATTCTCGTCATACATACTTTCTGTGCTAAAAGTTAAAGATAGCTCTTGCTACTGGGTAATCATCTCATAGGGCATCTTATCAAATGAGATTTGTGTTCCTTACTTATTCCCAGACTCTTTTGGACTGTGAAGAGATGTGAGGTTATTGATGGAGACGAACATATCGCAGTAACATTATAGTTTGCTTTAAGTGAGCTTCTTACCAGTTTTATGTACTTACTACGCCCATGTTCCATGCCATGACAGTTATGGATCGCGCTTGTGGTTGGCTCTAATAGTAATGCATGGTTTAGCACGGCAGTTCTGGTAACAAACATGAGAAATTTTCCCCTCAGTAGGGGTACTGTTTCTGGCATCCTCAAGGGCTATTCCGGGATCAGTGCTGCTGTATATACCGTATTGTACAGCTCACTGCTTGAACGAAGTGCTTCAAAACTACTGCTGTTCCTTACTCTTGGAATTCCAGTTATATGTTTGGCCATGATGTACTTTATTCGCCCTTGCACTCCTCCTTCCGGAGAAGACTCTTCGGTTCATGTCCACTTTGTTTTTACCCAAGTTGCTAGTGTCTTGCTTGCCATTTATCTTATCATAATAACAGTTATATATGACATAGTTTCTTTAAGTGATGTTTTTTCTTATTTACTACTTGCTATCGTATTTATCTTCTTGCTTGCTCCTCTCGGAATTCCAGTCAAGATGACAATTACTCGAGCAAATGCAGACACACTTACACCCCTGGCAAGTTCAACAGAGAATTTGGCCGAGGAAGAAGGCGGTCCAACTCACTCTGATCCTTTGTTGTCACCATCTTCATCAGCCTCAAATCTTGGAAGTTTCTTCGAAAGTGAATACGCCTCGGATGTGGAAACTCTTCTTGCCGTGGGAGAAGGGGCAGTGAAGAAGAAAAAAAGACCCAGGAGGGGGGAGGACTTCAAGCTTCATGAAGCTTTTATCAAGGCTGATTTTTGGCTTCTTTGGGTTGTTTATTTTCTTGGAGTTGGTTCTGGTGTTACTGTTACCAACAACTTGGCTCAAATCGGAATTGCATTTGGCGTAGATAATGCAACAATACTGCTCTCCCTTTTTAGCTTCTGCAATTTCATCGGTCGTCTTGGCTCGGGTGCTCTTTCAGAACACTTTTCAGGTTTGTTCTCATTATAAAATTCTGATTCACCATCTCTTGTATAAGGTTAAGATGTAATTATCTTCTAACCGTTTTCTGTAATCATTAAAAATCAGTGTGATGACTGCTATAATCTCTTATTAATTGTTGTCATTCTTGAGCATGCATCCTTATCCACGCATATTTTCTTGGAAGGCACTGTTTCTTAGGTTGGTAGTTGGAAATTGGAAATGTTCCTGTAGTACTTTTATCCAAAATTTGTTTCGGTCACGGACTTCGAACGAAGATTTTTCCCGGCCGAAAATAGTTAGATAGTTTTATTATAAGTTACCCTTTCTTGTGCCAGGCACTATTCTAAGCGTTAGTTTGTGGTCTTGCAGGACGAGAAGCATTCCTCGAACATTGTGGATGGCCTGCACGCTAGTGGTTATGGTTTTAGCATTTGTTATGTATGCATTAGCTTTCAGCGGTACCCTCTATATTTCAACTGCTTTGCTTGGCGTCTGCTTCGGATTTCAATATTCTCTCATGGTTCCAACGGCATCTGAACTTTTCGGCTTGAAACATTTTGGTATCATTTATAACTTTATGCTGATAGGCAACCCTGTAGGTGCACTTCTTTTCTCGGGTCTGCTTGCCGGTTCTGTTTACGATGCTGAAGCTGCTAAGCAGGGAAGTTCCACCTGCTTGGGACCTGAATGCTTCCGTCTCACCTTCTTCGTTCTAGCCGGCATCTGTTGTATAGGCAGCATCTTGGGCTTGTTTTTAACAATTAGAATACGACCAGTTTACCAGATGCTATACGCTTCCGGTTCTTTTCGTCTCCCGCAAGGTTCGGGCCACTGAAAATCCGGGAACAAAAGTGGTGACATGCCTGTTTTATATCGGTTTGATCCACGAATTATGGGGTCTAAAGCAGTCCCTAACATTATCCTGTAGGTCCATGATCATATGTAGTGCAAATTTGACTGCACTTCCTGAGCCTAACCCAAATAAGGTTGTTTGTTGAGCTTAGTGCTCATATGTACTTTGGTATGACATTTTATTCACTATGTATCATCGCTTTATAATTTAGAACAAGGTTTTTAGTATGATTGCCTTCAATTATTTGCAGCTTATATATTAGATTAGTCATCAAATTTGTTCAGGTGATTTAAGGATTTGGGTAAAAGGGCATTGAGAGTGGTAGGTCGGGGAAGATGGTTGTTTAGTGGGAACGAGGATTCATGATTGTTGATGATGGTCTCAGGTTTGGAAGTTTAGATTGAGGCTTCAATAGTGATGGTGTAGGATGAATATGGCGGTGGTAGTAGGTGGAATTGAGTTATATTCGGTTCGAGTGGTTATGTTTGATAACGGTGAAGGTTTGGTCAAAGCTGATATGTTGGCAATGGAAGTTGAGACTGGAGTATTGGGACCGGTTCTGTTGTGTGATGATGATTGTGCTGAGTGGTGATAATTTGTTTGTGGGTCAAATTTATATGATTTTTAAATACGAAAAATTAAATTATATGAATAATTTTAAATTAAGATTAAACTGATAGAATTTGTAAATATTGATGATTAAATTGATGATTTTTTTTTTGTTAAAAACAAAAATAGATGTAATTCAAACACCGTGCCATATCGAACCCTCATGTTCTTATCAAAATTCATTGCAGAATGGGGCCTTAATATAGCATTGCTACCTGTTCTAGCCGCAAAAGCACTTTTGGCCTCGAAAACATTTTTAAAAAGTATTACAGAGCGACTCATGCAGCCGAAGTAATGCTCAATGAATAGATTCTGTCTAATGCAGAGTGGTGCAAGGAAAAGCACCATGATGACCAAGACCAATATCTTCCTATGGTCCCAAAAACCAAGGCCTAACCATTGATCCAGAACTCCACGATGATGCAAACCCGAAATAACATCGCTGATGATTATCAAATACACGACCAACACACCTGCATTGTTGATGATTATACAAATTTGAGACAAAACTCTAGCTGTTCTTCCCATTGCAACCTCCACAACATCCCCATAAGATTTAGCCTTACATAGTACAGCATACTTGCTCAACATTTCGACACTGATTTCGGACAAAATCACGATAACGATCAACAAAGCAATCCCCAACAGATTGCCGAGAACTTTCATGGTGGCAGGCAAAGCCATCATTCCAGCACCAATGATGGTGGTAGTTAAGTTGAAAAAATAACATTTTAACGTGAAAAAGAGAGATAATTAAGTAAATTAAGAAAAACAAAAAAATAACTTTTTAAATGTATCACATATCAGTTTTTGATTGATTTGAAGTATTAATAGGATGTTCACTCCTCGGTTAAAACTATTGAATCAAATTATTCTGGTTAAAAGGTTAGTCATCATATTGGCTTGACCAGGAACAATTAATTTTTTCAATATTTGGTTAATAATTAATTCGATTCGAGAATGATTAATTAATCGAATTAATCAAAAATATTTATATTTATATATTAAATATATATTTTAAGCTCAAACTCGTTAAAAATTAAGATCCAACTATTTTTTTAATCATACTAGACCATCAAATTGTCAATACCTAATTAAATTTTAATCCAAATTAAAAAAATTACCTTTATTAAACTCAAATTAATCTATTAAAATTTGATTTATTCGATCACCGAATAACTAAATATTAAAAAATATAACATGAATTGAAAATACCACTATATTTTATAAGATCGATCTTAAGAATATAACATTATGTGATGCTCCATATAATGGTTCGAGCAGTTTCGTTTGATAGATATATATGCATTATCAATGATCAAGAAAGATTATGAACAAATGTTACTTTATAATTACTCTAAACTGTTAAAAATAAAAATGACGCTTCTTGTTCATAAAAGTTAGTTTATATCTTTGCTACCTCGTACTTGCTTACTGATGATGATACATGTTTAGGAACGAGCTGACGGTAATAATAAACTATCGATGTTTTCTTAAAAGTTTATAGATTTCTCATTTTAATTTAAAATTATTTATTTGTCTCTGATCATATTCGAATCAAACTTGATTTAGTCTATGAATATCTTAATTACAAGATAATATTGGTATTATTTGATACATATAGTTGTCATTTGTAAAGAGGTGGATGGAAAGGAGTGTGGGGTGAGAAAGCTGAAAAGTATGAGCGATGGGAAACATGGAACAGATAGCAGACATGTGGGCAGGGTTGAATTGCTCATATGGTGTTGTGAAAAAAATTATTGGCTGAAATAAGTTCTTATTAGAATTATTTTTTAATTTAGTATGAATGCTACATTACTCGTCAGAAGTTATTAGGAACACAATGAGTCTTTGGAAAATTGCCGGGAAGACAATGCGCCCTCAGTTTTATTCAACAGCAAGAAAAACGAGGAAGACATATTGTGTTTTCGGCAATTCTTCGATTATTGTAATATTCATATCATCTCGAGAAATAATTCTAGTGATACCTTAATTCGACCAATATTTTTTTCAAGAACCCTACAACATCAAATCAACCGTATGCAGGAATATCATTTTGGTGGCATTTAATATTTCCTCAACCACATTAAATTTGCTCAGCTGAACATCATGCTTCCTCATTAATTTGTCTTCTCCCTTTTTACTTCTCTGCATTTTCTTCACATTATTTCCTATTTATACTTATCAAAATTGGACCTCATCAATCACTTGAATTTAAAATCAAAAATCTGATCGAATCTAATAAATTTTAGGGTAAAATGCACAAATGATCCTCTGATTATAAAGTACTAATTTGTTAAGTCCATTGATTATTAAAAGTTATAAAATGATCATCCGAGTATAAGGAGTTGTTTTGTTGAGTCCTTAACTATTAAAAGTTATAAAATGATCATCCAACTATTCATATGTTCAAATTCGTCCTTTATTATTAAAAAAATAGCGAATGTTTAAACTGGATGTTAACCTATTAACTGAATGAATCGCTCCTATGGTGTTGTGAAAAAATTATTGGCTGAAATAGGGTCTCATCGGAATTATTTTATGGTCTAGTGTGAATGTCACAGTACCCGTCGAAATTCGTCGGGAACACAATGTGTCTTCGGAAATTCGCCGGGAAGATAATGTGTCTTCGGCTTTGTTCAACGGCATAAAAACGGGAAGACGCATTGTGTTTCCGACGACTTTCCGAACACACATGTGTTCCCGACTACTCTCCAGTTACTGTAACATTCATATCATCTTGAGAAATAATTCCAGCGATACCTTAATTCAACCAATTTTTTACAAGAACCCTACAACAACAAATCAACCTATTAACTGAGATATTATAAAATATGATATAAAAAACGTTTGTTTTATACTTTATAGATCGACTCACCGTTTATATCATGTCGTCAAGTAAGTACTTGAAAATATTATATCAACAAGGCAGTGTTAAAGCAACGACGGTGTCAATAGACATCATTAAAATATGATTTTATCATATCCAATTAGCATGTTAACATTCAGCTCAGACAATCGTCATTTTTTTACTGAAAATGACGAGTTTGGAAAATATAAATAGTCGAGTGATCATTTTGTAACTTTCAATAGTCGATGAACTCAACAAAATAATATTCTATAGTCAGAATATCATTTTATAACTTTTAATAGTCGGATGACTTAACAAATCAACGCCCTATAGTCGAGGGACCATTTGTATACTTTACCTTAAAATTAAAAATTATAAGAATACTTAATATACTAAGAAATTGAAATAAAAATAATAATTTATTCGATAGAATTATTATTATTGAATGATAAATTAACTGGTTTGATCATCGTTATGACTTAATTAAGAGTAGTTCTAGTTCATATTAAGTACAACTGACCCTACACAGTATTACGGGCTTAGCTTTAGATTGTTCAATGATTAACCGTACGACACGTGAAAAGGAACGTTTTTTAACCAAAATCAATTTTAATCTCGAAAGTCTGCTTAGAACATAAGTAAACAACAAGCTAGATCTTCGTCACAATATGGTCTTTTAGGTTGCGAGTTAAACTAGAGCGGTAAATAAGTCGAGTCGAGTTTAAGTATTGTTGAGTTCGATTTGATTCAAAAATTCTGAAATAGAGTTCGACACAATTCGGAAACTCCCGAACATAAATTTTTCAAGCTCACTCGAACTCGAAATCATGAGCTGAAGCTCGAAAAAATTCAAAAAAAAAAAATATCTTAAACTTAACTCTGTTAAAGTTCAAACTTGGTCTCGAATATGAATCTTAAATACATTTATATCATATTTAAAAAAATCAACACATAAATATTAATATTATTAATAGTTTATTTTTTTAAAATAAAATTTTAATATATTATTTTTTCAAATAATCGTGAGTTTTTCAATGGAGTAACTTGTTTCAGTTCGTTAATAAGTTAGTCGAATCTTTTCATTTATCGAATTTTAATTGAGTCGATCTTAATAAATTACAATCTAACTCGCCTCATTTCTAACTCTCGTCAAGACTATGAGGCGTAAATAATGTAAACGATCGATCTTGGAGTCCTTAACGTACCTACCCGATTATGGCTCTATACAAATAGCTCCATAAAAGCAAAAAGATAATCCAAATTTTCTGGAAAGAAAAGACAAAATACGGAAGCTCTGACTGGCGAATTACCTTAGCTTAGTATTTTTACTGTTGATTTTATATACATTTGGGTAAGTAAACATTAATTACCTAATCTTGTTCTTGCTAGATTCTGAAACAGAACAAACAAACAAACAAACGTGTATCTTCGTTTTCAGGGGAAACGACAGGTACTTTTTCTTTCTCTAAATTCAGAGGAAATAAATAAGTAGTAAAATTTACTTTTCCAGAGTTCAGGCCACCAAACATGGATTGCAGATAGTGTTGCAGAACACGTAAAACAAGGCAAACTATGCTCAAACATTATATGGTAAGTGATTATAAATGTAATAAAATTAATTTTGTACTAAGAAAGCTGATCGATTATATATCCATTTATATAGTGCATG